TTATTTGCTTCCACTAACATGTATAAATGATTCTCATACTTTTATTTCTCCATAATCAAAAGAAAATTGCTCTTATTCAAAAATAAAGAGAAAGGAATCGAACCCTTATATTCTGGTCATGAGCCAAATAACTTTCCATTAGTTTACTCTTCTTCTTTTAGAAGATCAAATAATTAAAATTCTTAAAAATTTTCCTAGTCATCATATTTTTAATGAATTACCTTTTATAAACCATTCAACCCATTAAAAAACAAGGGAATCAAAAAAACTTTTCGGTTTTCTTCTCTCCTAAAAGAGGATCACCCGACCCCCCCCCCAGTCCAGGCGCAGCACTGGCGCACCCCCTGCTGCGGCTATCGCAGGGGGCCCCGCGCCGCACCAACCACCAACCAACGACTTAATATTTTGCAGAATTATATTTGCAAGTTTTTTGAAATAATTTATTGAAAATTTGATGTATCTTTGAAATTAAAGTTCATTATGTTTCAGTTGTTTTTCCAGTTAAATTTTTCGTGCCTAGTAAGATTATAAGGAGCTGAAAATATTAACAGTAAAAAAAAAAAAAATTTGGCAGGGATGTTTTAAGATATTGGGCCCCAAAGTTGGTTTATAGACCCTTGTTGTTTTAATAACTTTTAAGCATGTTTCTTTGATATATTAGCATTTTAAGTACATTTATTGAATTCAGCATCAAAAAAACATTACATGTTTATTTTGGCCATTTTTATTATATTTTTTTTTAAGAAAAACTTTTTTTCAGAATGCTATGAAAACCAAGTCATTTTTGGGAAACCAGTTCAATATTAAATTTGCACTATTTTGTCAACCGCTCAACATTTTTAGCTGAAATTTTGTGTTATCTTTTCTTTTTAACATGCAACAGCCGAAAAAGTTTTTTAAAAATTTGAGGACCCATGTTTCAAAATTTCCTAGATTTTGGCTGATTTGATACGGAATTATCCTTACACTATAGTAAATATAACATCAAATAAAACTTTAACATCAAAATCTTTTTGATTTACAACTTATGGTTATTATAGTTGTAGTACTACACAACATTTTTATTGCAAATTCAGGTAAAAACAACCAACTATAAATTTTTATAATTTTTATCTTTAACTAATTTTCTATTTTCAAAATCTTTGTTAAATTATAAACAAACAACATGAAAATCATAGGAAAATAAACTTTGTAAAATATAAACTTATAACTTTAAAAAGTAAATATAAATAAGAAAATATGTTTAAATATCAATATTTTGTTATATATTTATTTATTATTTCTTTATTAGCTGTATTGTGTAAATATTAAAAATAGTGTACTATTGTGTAAATATTAGAAATAGTGTACTATTACTTTTAAAATATATTCATTAAAAGATTTTTATCAGTGTATGATATAAATATGTGCGAAAGCAACAGATAGACAAATAATTGTCTGTCTGTTGCTTTCGAACATGTTTACATCATAAAACTTTATATAATTAACTGTTGCTGTTTTTGGTTGATTCTGGTAAACTATTCCATGGATTTACTATTTGTTTGTGAAGAAATATTTACAAGTATAGCATTTTACCTGTTCACCAAAAGCTGTTGAATGCGGTTTTGAATCTGTTCACTGGTCACCATATTTCCATCATTTCAAATGGACTCTTTGATTTTCCTGCATGAGGTATTTTTCTAGCATTCTATTTAAATAATCAGCATTCTACTTAAATAACAACTTAAAAACCTTTATTCTGTGAATAAACTTTTAAATCCATCTTAGCTGTCTCTTCTGTTTTTTCAGCTACTCTATTCAATTAAAAATAATATGGTGGAGTTTTATATGGTAAGCACTCTCTGACATAAGGTGTTATCATGAAATTCATTGTGCCATACTATTTCAAATATCATTGAAATAGTATGGGCACCCAAAAAAAAGCTAGTTTATTTTAGCTAGTTAATTTTTTCTTCAGGCCAATACAATTGTTAAAAAGTAATTACATACCGTAACTTCTCTAACTTTTAAAGCTTTAAACTCTTTTAAATTTTTTGGTTACTAACTGAATATTTGATTTAAAAAAATGAATCAAAACTTGCTTTGAAACTCAATTTAAAGTCAATGGAATGTATGAAAAATTTGTTCATATTCAATTTCCAAAAATATTCAGCGTAATGTTTTCATTTTAAAATTCCAATTAAGTAGAAGAATAAAAGCCCTAAAAATTTTCTATGCATTAAAAAAAATATATATATTGTCTGAATAGACAAAAAAAAGTAGCATGTATATTTTTTACTAAAGACTAAAAATCGACTGCTTGTTGGAAGTGATTAAAAAGTGAAAATTATTTGTCAAGACTAGAGTATAAAGTTGAGTTGTCAGCAAATAGATCAACTTTAGATGTAAGATTGTTAGGAAGATTGTTATGGAAAATAAAGAAATGATACAAGGAACAAGGATAGAATTTTGCTTCTGTATCATTTTGCTTATTACAACTAAAGTTATTGGAAATAAAGAGTGTAGGCCTTTGAGAATGACATAAATACTGCGGTTAGAAAGATCCTAATTGTAGGATAGTTAGAGTGGTCTTAGTGTTTTCTGGAGTTTTAAATGTTGGAATCACTTGTTTAGCACTTAATAATAGTTTAGCTAGGATTGAAGAGAGTTCTGGAGAACACTTTTGTAAGACTATGATGGAAATGTTGTCTGAACCACAAGCCTAAGGAAAGCAAAATTAAGAATTTACTTTAGCATTAGACGCTGGAGTGATTAGGATATCTAACAATGGCTTGATTGGTTTAACTGGAATGGCAGGATGCCATTCAAGAGCTAAATTAGAAAAGTTTTTTGCCAGTAACTCTGCCTTATTTTGGGGGGGTTGAAGTAATAAGATCAGAACCATAAAATAGAGATATGTCAGGCTTACTTTAGTTAATCTTTACATTTTTGTATAAACTTTAGTATTTATATGGTGTAGTTTTTGTCAAAAGAGAAGATAGTGAACGTTGTATATATGCTATGACTCTAACAAGACAAGAATAGGAGCCATAGTTTCAGACAGAAATTAGAAAAAAATGTTTTACCGAACAACTTTAGTCAGGGAGATTCAAGTAAAAATTGTTGTATCAAACAACATTAGTCAAAAAATAAAATAAAGTGGTTTAGGTTCAGCATGTAGAAAAAGCAACTTAAGGAGAAAATTGTAGAGGTAAAAAGTAAACATAGAGAAAGTACATATAACAATAATAAACTTTAGTTAAGGAAATAATCAGAAGAAAACTATTGAACTTTTTTTTTGTTATCTTTTTCGATTTTTTTAAAATACAAAATAAAACACATGAAGTTTTATAGATATTATATACTAACATATGTAAATATATTATACACTATAACAAATGAAAAGGTTTTAAAAAAAGCTATAAATTCTTAAAACATACAAACACCGGGAGAAATTTGTTGCGTATTTGTCATGATTTAGATACTTATGTTATTAAAGTGCTCAGGTAATTAGTCATAATAAGCTGCTGATTGTCTGAAAAAAATTATGGTCTGAAACTTAATTTTACTTCTTAATCCTTAATCCCATAAATTTTACTTTTTAATCCTTAAAAAAACTTAAGAAATAGTTTAATAAGACATTCCTGCAACTCATGCTGTGATACTCTGATGCTGCTGTGGAGGCAAAAAAAATAATTGCAAAATGGCATCGATGACATAGCATTAAACCACTGATCTATCGAAATTATTCATGTAATTAAAAACAAAAACAAAAAAAAATTAAAATTATTCAAAAAATGTAAAATAAATGCAAGAGCAAATTTGACGTATAAAAGTGTTTTTTGCCACAAACTGACGTCACTGTGCAAAATCTTTTTTGGTTAATTTTTAGATTAGCGTTTTATAGCTAAGGCAGCATCTATAGTTTTTAATGGTCTAAGGTCTTCTTTGTTCTGCCTTTTGTATTGCATTATGTACAGACGTTTGTAAGTGTAAAAGTCTTTAACATATTTTGAGTTTACAGGTGGTATATAGAACAATAGTGTATAATATATCTATAAAGTGAGAAAAAATTTTAAATTTAATTTTATTATTTAGAAATTTTTTTTTTATATTATTGTATAGTATAATCTATATTTTTTTGCTATATTGCTATTGCTATAATAGCAACATTAAAAAAATTTCAAAATTTATTACACTAAGGGGAGAACTTAAACCCCCCAAAACGACACTGATGGCAGTATACTAAACTACTGAGCTATCAATGATATGCATATCAATGATATGATTTAGGAGAAAAAAAAACCTAATTATAAATCTCTTATAAGCTCTATGTATGCAGAAAAAGTGTGCATGTCGATTTTTTTGCACTTAAAGCAATTTTTCAGAATGAATTTACTAAAAAATATTGAAATAAGGAATAGGTATAGAAATGATTGGTGTGGAATAGATAAGTATAGAAATAGTAGGTTTGGTAAAAAGTATAGAAATGATACTTTTAAGAAAAAAATTTATAGAGCCGTAAGTTGGTGTAGTGTTGTGGACATTAAGTCTACATTAAGTCAATTTAAAAAGTCAATTCCAATATTAAAAAAAATGCATTGCTAAATCAAACCTACCCCCCCCCTCTTTCTCCTCATAATTCATCACATAACAAATTATAGGGTCATCTACATAATTTGTAATGGTCCTACAACTAAGTGAATATTTTGAAGTTGTTACCTTAAATGCAGTATTAGATTAGTAGAGTTTCAAATTTACTCTACACCTCTGGAAATCAACTTCTTTCTGTGTGCAGCCACATTTTAACAGTGAGAGTTACAAAAAAAAATTAAAAAAGAAATTTATCTTCTCAACTGTCTCTTTGAAGCCTTTTGAGGGGGGAGAGGGTTTGAGGTTAATTTAGTTTAAAATGTTTGATTGCAAAATAGAGAAAAATATATAAAATTATAAATTTTTAATATTGAATTTTTTAAATAAAATTATATAATAATTTTATTAGATATTTTATTTTTAATTAGGTATCACAAGTTCCAGGGGGTTCTTCTAAACAAACATTTCGAATAAAAGACAAAAATCAATCTAACATGGCTATTGCTGAAGATGATTATGAGGTAGCGTTAGGTTTGGTAAATGAAGAGACTTCATTTGATGAAGATGATCATGATGCAGATGAAACATTTTATCCATCATCAGGAGAAGCTAGATTAAGGGTATTTCTACCTTTATTTAGTTTTTATAAGTTTTTAATGTGCAGAAATAACTTGATTCTTTTAAAAAATAAAAGTTTTTACCTGTTTTTTTTTTTCTTTTCTTTTTTTTTCTAATAAAAAACAATTTTTAAAATTTATCCTAAGTAGTTTATTTTGAGTAGTTCATTTTTTTATATACAATATTATTTTGTACATAAATCAATTTAGGGTTTGCCAATACTGATTCTTTTCCTGATATATATTCACTTCCTGCACATTCTCCAGTGCAGAGTCAGTTGATGCATGCATTTATTAATTCCTTTGCAAAAATATAAATTAAATTTTGTTCATGTATTTGTGTTGTAAAATGCTATTTACAAAGTAAAATAACAAAGTTTAATTCATAAAACGTTATTTCAATAAGTTATACCCAAATTTACAAGATAAAATAGTAAGACTCACAAGATAAAATAGTAAGACAATACAACCTGTCAATTGGTACTTTTAATTAGATTTTTGCATTTGTAAAATTGACAGATTATACTGGGTTATATGTTACCAGTAGAAAATGATCATTTTATAAATCCAACATTCTAAAAATTTATCTTCCTTTGAGACCCAACTTTATATACATTAGGAAAAAAATGTTTCACAACATGGTTGACGCTCACAATTTTGTCAGGTGTTTTGAGGGGTGACATTTTTTAGAAATTGACACTTTTTTATGGTATTTTTTGTTTAAACATTTTTTTTTCCTTTAATAATAACACACACACACACTCTAACAATAACACACACACACACACACACACACTAACAATAACACACATACACACACACACATATTGCCATCTAACTACTAAAATCAGTGTCAATGTAGCAACACTTCGTGCATGTTCTCCATACTGTTTAAAAATTTAAAAAATAATAACCATTTTATAAACAAAATGATTAAATTTTTTTATTAAAGATTTTTCACTTTTTATAATAGACTTTTTATAATATGAAAATTTTTCAATATGTTTTTTATAAAATGATTTTTTTTATTTTTTTATTTTTGTATAATTTAGATTTTTATTAAAAATAACAATTGAATAAATTTATCAAGCATCTTTGATATATTTGATAACTTATTAACTAGAATAAAATTATTTGAAATTTATTTGACATAAATCTCTTAAATTAGACGTTCGTCAATAAATAAAGATACACAAATCAACTTTCATTAAAAAAAAACGGTACGTCATGCCCTGGGATAAAAAATAGTTGGCAAATGTGACTATTTCTAGATAGTTGTAATTCTTTTTTTTTAGTAAATAATTTCTTTATTAGAAATTATAGTTCCATGATAAAAAGGTTTGTAATTATTTTTTAATAGCTTCTGTACTCATTTTGCCTTCAACTCGAATCTGAATATTTTTTTCAACGATTGCTTTTATTAGGCTGCATTAAAGTACTCAGGAAATTTTGTGGCAGTTTAATTGTAATTATGGAATCAATTAAATTAAAAATCGCATTTACAATTGCTTTGTTTTCTTTTAGCGCATTTTTAAAATGCGCTAATTATCAAAACTTGCAAAGAGCCATGGTCAAGTTATTAAAACAAAGAACTATATGCGTGGTTATATAAAGCATCCGATCGCACGCCTCTTACAAGAAGGCCTGATATATATATATATATATATATATATATATATATATATATATATATATATATATATATATATATATGTATATATATATATATATATATATATATATATATATATATATATATATATATATATATATATATATATATATATATATATATATATATATATATATATATATTAGGGTGGAGCTTATTTTTGAACTTTTGAAATATGATCTTCTTACCCTCTCATTTTGTTCCTATATATGAAAAAATAATTCAGGCAAAATATGAGAACAATTAAACAATATTTAGGGGTATCAATGATGATAAAATTTTGGATACTCGAAAGCTGCGGTTCGGCTACACTTGATTTTTACATAATATTATTACTTATACCAGAATAATTCTCATGTTAAATTAAGAACTTAATTTTAACTACAAAGCTAAATTGCACTGTCCTAAATCATCATATACTCCACAATTATGGTCTATACTATCATATTTGATCATTGACCAACCAATTCAATCATGGCAAATGGAAATAATCCAGATTCAATTTTTTGCTGACTGTGTAATTTTTACATAAATCAAAACATAATCCCAGACAGACAGGATCACTAGCTAGACAGACTTGTTTACTGCAATGCTGAGTTGCTGACTAAGCAACACTGTTAAAGCTGTATGCTTATTTTGTTTACTAAATAGAGGCATTGTTTTAGTTATTAAAATATAAATGGCAATTTAAGTTGAAATATTGTTTAAATAAATTTTCTTGATTTTCAAATTTAAAGAAGATTTTTATAATTTTGGTGTTGACTTTCTTCTCTCCAGTACCTGATTCTCATCAATTGGTAAATTAAAAGATTGATATATTAAAATACCTTAACTCTTTGTGTCTTGTGAGTGTAAAATTGTAAATAGTAAATATATTAATAATTAATTAATTCTATATTATAATATGGACGTTAAACTGATAATGCTGATGAATGTGATGATGATGATGAGATAAATAAATGAACATAAATTATGTAATATACAATATATTTTTAAAAATAATTAAATAAACCATACAATACATGTTAAAATTTCTGACTGCAAATGGTCAAATTTTTCCAATGCATTTTTTATATTTATTTCAGATAAATATTCAATACTGAATTATTGAAAATGTCATCTCGGGCAAAATTAACCAGATCTCAAACTGAGTTGTATCTACTTGGCGAAACTATTACTGAATTAACAGGCAGCAAGCTGCCATCATTACATATGGCGCTTGGATTTTTCTTGTATCACCATCTCGAATTAAAGGAGACTATAAGACAATCATCGGCTGTTACCATCACGGAAATAACAAAGTTTTGGCAAAAAGCTAGAATCCCGATGAGAAATCATCAGAACTGCTAAACGAAGCTTGAACAGACATTTGAAGAATGGCGTCTTCTTAAGAAGAACAAAGCGCGAAAAACAACAACTCAACTTGGGAGAGAGTCAGCTTTTGTTTTAAGACTTGACGATCTCTTTGATGTCACTCACGTCGATGCCCTGACCAAAACATCAGTTTTACTAGAAGACAAGGATTTCTTAGTAGCCCAGCGAGAAAAAGGAAGAAGGGGGTCAATGGCTGGAGTAGATGAAACACTTGCTGCTAAGGAAAAAAGGGCTTCCAAAAGAAGGGAGCAAATGTTTGCCAGGCAACAGCGAATGGAGCAAATGAACCAGCTAGCCGTTTCTACAGCTGAACTGAAATCATCTAGTTCTGAATCTGAAAACAGTACAGCAGAGGATGTTGAAGAGACTGAAACTAGTGACAATGCAGATGAGGGAGCTGTTGGAGGCACCACTTTTCAGACACCTAAAAGAAAGAGGGGACAAAAAACTGTTGTTACACCAGAACTCGCTGCAGCTCTAGATCGAACAAAAATGTCAGACCACAAGGCTGTTTTTGTTATAGCAGAAACTGCCAAAAGGTTAGGACAGAATATCAATGAATTTGCTCTTAACAGAGACTCAATTCGCCGACACAGATTGGAACACAGAGTCCAGAGATCTGCAAATATAAAAGCTGAGTTTCGGGATAACGTTCCTCTTGTTCACTGGGACGGCAAACTGATTCCTGATCTACTTGGAAAAGAGAAAGTTGATGGTCTGCCCGTATTGGTTTCAGGAAAAGGAGTCTCTCAGCTACTCACAGTTCCTTCTGGAACTGTTCCAGAAGAAAGCTACTCACAGCTTCCTTCTGGAACAGGCGAGGCACAGGCTGCTGCCGTCTTTGGAGCCATTGAAAACTGGGGCAGTAATGCCAATATTTTAGTAATATGGCTAAATAACTGTACCATTATTTATATTATATGTATTATTAAAATATCAAGATATATATAATTATTTTAATAACTATTAATTTAAAGATTGATAGATTATAAATATTTGTAAATCTTTCCTCACGAAAAAAAATATGTGCATATGTACATACAATATGGTAAACCCTGAGCCTTAGAGAAGTGATGAAAAATTATTTATAAAGTACAACCGTTAGTATAAGAAGTGTTTATTAGCATTACAAAAACAATGGTACAACAATTTTTTTTTTTTTTTAGATGCCCCAAGAATTCCTTACGGTCTTTTCAACTTGAAGTTCAAATTAAATATAAACAATTTTTAAAATTTTCCATTTTATTTTAAATCTTAAAAAAAAAAGAAGATATAATTACAACAAACACGGATTTACAATCCGTGTTTGAATACAACTATGTTCTTTGAAGAAAAAAGCGGTTACTAATATTTATAATGTTAAATATTAGTTTCAACGTATTTGCGGTTTCTGAAATGAATGAATTTGGAATGCTTTCAAATAGAAATAAAATGCTTTATTTATTTATTTGTATATATATAAAATAAAATATTTTGCTACTTTTGAAATAGCAGCAGTACATACAATAAAGCAATTTTATAAAAAGTCATACAAATTATTTATATTTGCAAATGTTACGATTTTTGTTTATGAAAAAATAATTAATCATTCTAATTAAACAAAAATTTTATCAATATGAATATTTTTCTATAATTCATAATTGAACACAATTGAACCCGTCATTTCAAAAAGGGCACAAGTGACTCTTTTTTCGAATTGAACTTTTTAATGTAATATTATTTATTCAACTGTTTTACATATTCCTTTTGAAGGAGAAACATTTTCATATGCCACAAGTCAATTAAAAATGCAAATTAAAATTAAAGTCTGTTTGAAAATGGCACAAGTCCCAGACTTATGTCTTTTTCAAGTGAAACTGTAGTGACGTAATCTCATGTTATTTGTAACAGAAATGGAAAATTGCAAGCTTGCTGAAAATGCATATAAATCTAGAAAAAGAGTGTCTGGTATAAGAAACAGTGAAAATTATAAACACGAAAAAATAAAAAGCCAAAATTGCTGGAGAAGCTTATAAAAACCATAAAGGAAATAATGTGGCACCAAGGCAAACAGGTGCTTCTTGCAGGTTAGTTTTTTGTTCTATAATATAGAATGACTATATTCGTTCTCAAATTTTTGCTTATTTACTCATGTTTTACCACTAATATTTGGAGGTATAACATCTTGATATATAATTATTATAATATTAATTCAATAATTCTATTGATTTACAGATGTAATTTGAAGTGTATGGAACTTGTATCTGAAGATGTTATAGAAAGTACAATTTTGTTAACAGATTTGATAGTAAAAATGCCCAAGACACATACTTGCAGTCATTGATTGAAAAGAAGGAAATAAAGACGGTTTAGATCTAAAGAACCTAAAGAAAAAGAATTTTCTTTTATTTATTACATTAAGGTTGAAGGTGTGATAAAAAAAGTATGCAAGAAAACTTTTTGCAGTATGCGTGGAGTTTCTATGAAACAAGTTAGACGTTTATGCATTTTATTAAAAAAAAAAGAGCAGCCTATAGATTACAGAGGTAAATCTCAGGGATCACGATGCAACTCATTACCTGGAGATACATTAACAAAAGTACGTGAGCATATCGAATCATTTCCTGTTAAATATGTGCACTACTATAGTAAAGATGCATCATCTTATTATTTGGATGAAAAACTCAATGTGAAAATTATGCACACGTTATTCGCACAAAAATATCTAGATCATTCTGTTAAATATAAGTTCTACCTTAAATTTTTCCAAGAAAATTTTAGTTTATCATTTGGTAGAAAGCAAATAGATGTCTGTGGACTGTGTGAAGAGTTAAAAAATTAAACTAAAAAACCCACACCTTAATGTCAATGCAAAAAGAATCTATTAAGCAGATATTGAGATCCACAAAAGACAAGCAAACAAATTTTACAAAAAAATACAGGAGGTTGAAATTAAGTGCAAAAACGATCCAAATGTGCATTTGATTTTATGCAAAATTTGCCACTTCCACATATCCCTGTCCAGGAAATATTTTATCTACGTCAACTATGGCTGTATGAGTTTTGTATATATGATTTTAAAACTGGTAAATCAATATTTTATTCATATTGTGAAGGAGTTGCTAACAAAGGTTCCAACGAAGTATATACCTTTGTGCTGGATTATATTTTAAAAAATATTGGCAACGAAGCCAAAGAATTGCACCTATTTTCTGATGGTTGTGCAGGCCAAAACAGAAATCATGCCATGGTCTGAATACTTTTATCACTGGTAGCTGAACTTGATAGCAATATAAATGAGATACAATATTACATACCAAAAAGAGGTCACTTATTCTTGCCTAATGATAGAATGTTTGGAACAGCAAAGCGACATTCGAAAAAATGATCGGATTTACACACCAACAGAGTATGAAAATCTTATATCTGAAGCAAGCGAAAAATTTGAAATTAGAAGGCCCAAAACTGAAGATATTATTGATGTAAAAAATTGGTGGCCAAACCATTATAAGAAACTTTTGCTATCTGTGGATTCCTATGGAAAAGGAGTACCCAAGGACAAAAAAGTTACTTTTGGTATTTCTAAAGTTTCACATTTCACATTCTCTAATACCACACCAGGTTTAGTGACAACACATGAATCCATAGATTGTTTAATCAGTTATGATTTTCAGCTATTACAAAGGATGGGTACAAGGCCAACCTTACCATTAACTAGTACTCCTGCATATGTTGGAAAATTGACTATCAATGAAAAAAAGATATCAGATTTGAAAAAAATAAAAAAATATATTCCATATTCAATAGAAGAGTGCCAAAACTTCTATACAAAGTTTTTTGCTTGGATAACAACTTCGGCAAACAATGAATTAAGTGATGATTAACTAACAATAATTGTTTTTATGTAATAATAAATTATTTATAATTATTGTTCTGATAATCTTTTGATTTTTATATGCAAAAAAGTGTTCATTTCGAAAAAGACATAAGTCCATAAATTTAAATTAAAAATATATGTGTTATATGTTGTTTTTTTATAATAAATAAAACTCTAAAAACTTATGTATGACTTTTATTTATCTACTCTTATATTCAGTTTTTTTAGCACCATAAACTTTTTTTCTTATAAATTTATTTTTGTTGATCCTGAAAAGTTTGAATAAATGGACTTGTACCCTTTTCGAAATGACGGGTTCAATTATTTCTCATCATAATCATTGGCTAACTTAAATAGTTTTATCTATATAACGGCTGATGTAATAAGCGATTAAGTGACATAACGATTAATTACTTTTTCCAATATCGACTTTGTTTTGAGGCAAAAATTACAAACGTTTTCTTTTTATTATACTAATATATATGCGCTTGAAGTCCAACATTTCGAATCAGATTTGTTAAAAAATTTAACTTATGGAATAAAAAATAAAGCAAATAAATATCATTTGTGAATCATTTTCAGAATGCAGTAAAAGGTATAAAAATTCAAAAAAAGGCTCTTCTAGGATAAATAGCAATAGTCTTAAGCAGGATTCCCGCATAGCCTCTGGGGCCAGCACACCACTGTTTACACCAAATATCTTTGCATTTAAATATGCCAACCTTTTTATTATTTGCTTCAAATTTTGAAGAAATATTATTAGTAGATTAAGAGGTTGTTTAAAAGCTAATACCGAATGAATATTAGAAAAAACATTTTTGACTCTTTCATTATGAGATACTTTGAGTAAAAGGTTAGTTTCTGAGATTAAAGGTTGACAATTTAGATTGCTATAGAATGTTGTCACTAAAGAAAATATTTCTTTAAATTTCTTTTGTGGTGCTAGTCCTTGTAGTTTTGTATTATAGAATGTTTTATCTATAATTACATCAGGATATTCACAATCTTTCAACCATGGCTTTAGTTCTGTTAGACAAAGTTTTTCAATTTCAAATGCTAACCTTTTACTCAAAGTATCTCATAATGAATAAATGCCAAAACAGCACTACTGATGATTTTTTGAAAACAGCACTACTGATGATTTTTTCAAAACAGCACTACTGATGATTTTTTAAAAACAGCACTACTGATGATTTTTTCAAAACAGCACTACTGATGATTTTTTCAAAACAGCACTACTGATGATTTTTTGAAAACAGCACTACTGATGATTTTTTTTGAAAGGCCTCTAGTGCTTATTGTTTATTTAATTAATTATTTTATGTTTTAATTAAATTAATTAATTATAAAATTAATTAAATTAAATATAAAATTACTTTGTATTAGTGTATTTTTTAAAAATTAAAATATATTTTTAATGATAAATATTTAGAGAAAAAAAGATTTACTTTTGTTTACTGGTTTTACTATCTTTTGCTTTATATTGGTTAAAAATCATATTTCAAGTATATATATATATGTGTGTGTGTGTGTGTTTGTGTGTTTGTGTGTTTGTGTGTGTGTGTGTGTGTGTGTGTGTGTGTGTGTGTGTAAAATATGCTGTTATATTTTTATTTTTATGACATTTATTTCTTAAGAGAGCCTCATCAAGAAATACATTTCAATTACGTCGATTTAACCGGAACTCTCATTTAAGACAGGCTCATCTTTCCAGTCAAAGCTCTAGTTCTTTGTCTTCTCAAACATCTCCTGCTTCTACAACAACTCCTAGCATATCTGCCGCTATTAATAGTCCTCCTAGCTGTGTCACAAAAGTTTCACAAACAAACAGTGTTATATACTCTGACACCTCTGAAGATGAAATTAGTCAAGTACAGCAAGCTAACCTAAAAAAACGTAAAAGTAAGTTTTTTTCCAATTTACTTTTATTGATTTTTTTAATTAAGTTTTAAATTAAGTCAATAATGTTTAAATTTTTTGTTTTGTTTAGTATTTAATTAAAACAGTGAGAAAAAATAGTAACAGGTTTTTGAAAAAATAGTAACAGGTTTTTGAAAAAATAGTAACAGGTTTTTGGTAAGTTAAAAATACTATCCTGTCTAATCTTTGTTATTATAGGAGATTTATAGAAAGGCGATCAGATGGTTTATACTCTATAAATGATTCAAAAGGTGAAGAATTCCCCATTTCTCACCTCCAGTTCTCCATTTCTCACCTTCAGTTCTTTTAGTTATACCTCTTAACTCTAATCTTGTTAACACTATTCATTTGTAACTCTCAGTTTTTAAAAATAACATTGTAATTTAAAATTTTATAAAATCAAATTATTAAACTATTTCAAAGTATCATAAAATGTTACTTGGTATTATGCCTCAATGGCTGAATCTTTAATGATTTTTTATTTTAATACTGTCTTGTAAAAAAAAATTTTTTATCTTTTAAAACCAACTAAATAAGAAAACAGGTAGAATAATAAGTTAAAATCATGTGAAAAGCTAACTATAGGGGTCTGGTTCAAGTAAGGGGTCTGGTTCAAAGAGATATTTCAGACATTTGTACCACTGAATGTATCACAAATTTGTAATATCTGTTTCCTAATAGTTCTTATATATAGGAATTCACTTCTGCCATTTAAAAATGTACTACACTGACCCTAGTATGCTTTGAGTCAAATAGTTCATTTTTTTGTCAATTTAGATATTTATATATTAAAAAAATTTAAAAGGTAAAAATATAATAAAACCACTAAAATGTATATAACATGGAAAAAAACACAAAAAAACATTAACTCTAGTTTTAATGTGTTAATATAGAGTACCATAATGAATAGGACAATTATTAAATGGGACAAAATCAAATTTGCATTGAAGCGTCTACAGTTAGATTCAAACTCCTGTAGTAAAAGGTGTTATATACAGTCACTCAATAGATCGGATCATTATTCCTATTATGTCTAAGCATAATGCCATTAGATGATATTGTGTTTTGAAGAACAAAAAGTACTTTTAAAAAACAATTTTCTGATTTTGCAGTGATTACTGAAGTTACGGAAAATAGTATAGTGTTGCATTGAACAAAAATATACCTGATTCAACGCATCTAAATAAAATGGCAGGAAAGCGATGAATGGACAGTTGTTTGATGTGTCATCAAAAATTATCACTACGAAAACCGGAAAAGGTCAGCCTATCTTGTGCAACAGCCTTAAATAAACATACTGTGTCCAGGTTTATTGATAATTTGTTAGAAATTCAATTAAAATATAAATTAAAACCTGAATGTATTTTTGATGCAGGTGAGACAGGGTTATTAACAATTACAGACTCTTTAAAGATTATTTCAACTTGTGAAGCTAAGCTAGTTTGTCAAGCTGTTTCAGCAGATAGAGGGTTGTTGGTGACGATGCTGACTTTCGTGAATGGTATGTATTTATATTTCCGAGAGTAAACTACAAGGATTTTATGATAAATGGAGCACTGACAGGAAGCTTAGGGCTGTATAACAAAAGTGGTTGGATGACGAGTGACCACTTTTATTTGCAATAAAGAACTTTGTATCCCTTACTAAGCCATCTGCAGATCATCCAGTGCTTTTATTAATGGACAACAATGAAAGCCACATTTCATTTGAAATAATAAGATTTTTTTTTTGTTTTTGTTTTTTTGTTATTCACCTCCTCAAGGCCGAGAAGGCCACTACAGACGAGGAGGCTACTTAATAGTGGTCATAACCCTCTCTCAACTCTATAACTCCGAAACACGAACCTTGACGAACAAGGCCGCTGGGCGGAGAAACAAGTTGAGCGCATTACTACCAGGGACGTGGTGGGGATCGAACTCGGAACCTCTTGCTTATGAAGCGAGTGTTTTATCACTACACCACTACTGCATAAAAAATTTGCAAAAAAAATTTCTTTGGTTTTTTTAACACTTCCACCACACTGCATTCGTAGATTGCAGCCAATAGATATTTCAGTGTTTAGGCCTTTTAAATCTTATTTTAGATTGGCTCAGAATGAATGGTTGACTTCCAATACAGGAAGGATTATGAGCATTTATAATTTGCCTTAGTTAGCATACACAGCATATATGTTGTTCACAATAAAAAATGTTTGCAGTGGGTTTCAAAAATGTGAAATCTACCCACTCTAAACAAATATTTAGAGAAAGTGGTTTCATATCATTTAGTGTTAGTGAAAGACCTTTTTCAGTCAAGCATTCAGAAATTCAACAACCAGATAATCAACATTTATACAAACAATTAAGTTGATTCTTCTGAATCATCAGTCAAAATTATTCCGGAAACCATTTATTCATACCCTAAAGCACCTCCCAGAAAAGATTCTCGAAAAAGAATTAACAAGGTAAAAGTACTATATTAACTAAAGCTCCAGAAAAGACAGTGAATAGTGAGAAAAAATTTTGAAACTGTTAAAAAATAAGGCAAAAAAAGAAAAAATGACTTCAGAAAAGTGAAAGAAACAGGAAACTCAGTAGATTTTTTAATTGTGTGGATATGTGGTAATTATAATAGCAACAACAAGAAGCGTTACTATGAGTGCTAGATTTACTATGAAGTTATGCAAATTGGTAATATCTTTTACACTTTAATATACTTAACTTTTATTACTTAGTATTTTATGAAAAGCAGTAAGTGTTATTTTAAATGTGTTGGTTTAACACATAAAATTAAATTTTTTATAACTAATAAGTTGCTTTGTTGTTGAGTTTTTTTAAAGAAAATTAGATACTTAATAAGCTAATAATTAACTTATATTAATGAAAATATATCTTTTACACAATGCTATTTTGTTTTTAAAAAAATCATATATTCTATTTTAAATGAAATTTATTGAGTAATTTTGGTTTTTAAAATAAAAAAGTTCGATGGTTAAGAGCACAAAGGGAATATGCCCATATATATATATATATATATATATATATATATATATATATATATATATATATATATATATATATATATATATATATATATATATATATATATATATATATATATATATATATATATATATATATATATATATATATATATATATATATATATATATATATATATATATATATATATATATATATATATATATATATATATATAGTCTTGCATGGTAGTCACAAAGTTTTTCCTATAAACTGTTGTTTTAAAGAGTTAATAAGCCTGACCAGAAAATGTTGAAAAAGTTTAAAATTTTTTTTTTTTTTTAAAATGATAGACTGCCTGCCCAAACCTAACCCTCAGTCGATGTAGCAGCACTCCCTTGCGAGTCAGGCTATTTGTCAGTCGATGTAGCAGCACTCTGTTGTGAGTCAGACTATAAAATAGTCGATGTAGCAACACTTCCTTATAGCAACAGGCTATAAGATAATCGATGTAGCAATATTTACCCATGTTTTAAAAATGTTTTTTAATAAAACAAAAACAAAAACGCCACTAATTTAAAAAAACTTTCTAGTCATTATTGCGGTTTTTTTTAAAAACAAAAAATCAAACAGCATCATGACAAAGAGATCAATGATCTTAGAAACCAAATCAATGGAGTAACCATTAAACCAACAACAGCAGCCAATCATTCTTATCTCAATATAGTAAAACGGAACATTTATGTTAACCTGGCAGCAACTAAAATAAAAATTTAAAAGAGAGAGAGTCTATTATATTAGTTGTAGATCTTAAAGAGAAAATATAAGTGATGAAGATCTTATAAAAGAGTTTTTTGAAGCAATCAAAGTAAACCATGAGGAAATTTTTCACGTTTTTTGTTACAAAAAGCAAAAAAGAAACAATCCGCCAAGCAATCACCAGAACATGAACCAGGACAACCAAGATCCAATTGGTGTAATACAAGTTTTGTTCAAATCAACAGGAAGTGTTCAAAGGGACTCAAGAAGACCAAACAGCTGCAGAGCAAGAAGTTTTCAATAAACAAAACAGTTATGCTTAAGCCAAAAAAATCATTTGCAATAAAACCAAATTAAAAAAACAATTAATCATCCACATAAAGAACTTAACTTCTGAACTTATTCATTCGCTAAACGAAGTCAAATGAGATTTATTGAGAGAATTAATAATGAGCAAAAAAAAAAACACATTTGCTTTTCTTCAATAAGAACTGGTTTGATCAAGCATCAGGCCCTCCACTTCCTGGCTACCAACTTTATAACAAAAACCAAGGAAGCAGAGGAAGTGGTGTAGCCATCTACATAAAAGGTAATATCCTAGTAAATGAAACAAAAATGGCTACACACCAGCAGAAAAAGCCCACTGCTTTCTCATCGGCTCATTTGCTAAAAACAGCACTTTAATTAAAGAAGGACAGAAAAGATTCATCTGGAACAGGGAAAACTATGAACCAATCTTAACGCTAATCACCTACAACTGGGTGACAATTTTCAACTCTCGTTCTGTAAATGACAATTACCAGGTGTTAGTTGACAAATTCAAAGAGGTGGTCACCCTACTATACTTTCAGCTAAAACACTGTTCAAGCAACAAAAACAACTATGGAGTATGCCAGATGTTGTAAGCAGTGGAAAAGAAAAGAAACCTTTGCCGCAAATATCTAGCAGCTGGTAGATACAGTTGTTAAGTAGGAAAATGAAATGGCAAACTGTTTCAAAATATCCTAAACGTCTTCATAACCAAATTAAACAGAAGCAAATAATTGTAAGATTTCCATAGTTGTTGGAAGCAGGGCTGTGAAGTCGTAGTTGCAGAGTTGCGACATTTTTAGCGGAGTCGGAATCGCTAAACAAAATCGCGACTCCGATTCCAATAGTAAAACTTCTCGGTATTGCACGTGCATGTATAAAACATTCAATTAACCTTACATTTATAATAAACCTCAAAGAACGTTTCATAAATTTGTCAAAAAACTTTTTTTTAACTTATCGCATAATATTTTTTAAAAAATTCAAAGAATTTTTCAAAAATTTTGCTTTGGAGTTGGAGTCGGAGTTGTACTCAAAATATTTCAACAACTGGAGTCGGAGTGGTTACTTTTTTTTTACAACTATGGCTACACAAAAACTCCACACCCCTGGTCGGAAGACAACTATGGAAATCTTACAACAAACAGTCTCATACCAAACATAAATGGAACGTGTTTTAAGTGAAGCCAAATTAATAACTTAATCTGTTCAGCAATAGCTAGAAGAACTCATTGAGACAAAATCAAAAGCCTATGATAACATACATCCACATATTATTTGACACTGTGCCACTGTAATAACTAGGTCACTAGCGATAATTTTCAAAAAATCACTGGCTGAAAGCAGTGATTTTTTTTATAGTCCCTAACCTATGGAAGATATCAAACGTAATTCCTATATTTAAAAATGGAAGATGAAAGAAATGGTCAAACTAAAGGCCAGTTATTCTCACATCGTTACGCTGTAAGATAATTGAAAGTTTTATGCACAAGAGAATCATGAAAATTTGCCTTTAAAATAAGCTTTTTATGAAATCTCAATATGGATTTCTTCCAAGAGGCGGCTGTACAACTAATCTGTTAGAGGCACATGACATCTTAATGGAAGCACTGTTTCAGAATTATGCCATATTCATACTCAATCTTACCACTCTAGAAAAGCAGCAAAAAATGAAAACCTGATTCAGCAGTATAAAATTGCAAACCAAATAGAAAAAGCCATTATGTGTGAGAAAAAGATTTTCAAAAATTATTTAATACAAATTAGTAAATACGCACTTTAACAAATATTAACTTATTGACTCAAGCAAAAGCTACATAATGTAAATTACTCAATGATTTTAAAATGATTTGCAATGTCAATTTTTGTCTGTTTTATTATTAATGATTCCTTTGGTTTGCAAATTTCATTCTGGTAGAAATATTTTAATAGTTTTTTAAGGCACATACTTTTTTTTTATCGAAAAAGGAAAAAAAAAATGTCAAAATGAATTTTTTAGGTCAAAGATATTTTTTAAATAGAGTATTTTTAGAAATATTTTAATAGTTTTAAAGGAAACATCTTTAAATAGTTTGTGGTTCTCTTCTATATATTTTGAATTATAATTTATCAACAATATATCAGCTATAGCTTAAACTTGGTTTACATTTTACATTACATAAAGTTAGTTAACTTAATGGTTTTGTTTTATTAAAACTGACTTAAATCAGTCACTTGTAAAATCTAGTGATTGTATTAAAGTAGAAAAATATAATGGTATATTAAAGGTGGAACCTCTAGTTATTGACATATTTGAGACATCCGCTATGAAATTCAGTTCTCCGTTATTTTTAATTTTTTGGGTATTTTTTTGTGGTAAAAAAAAATAAATTTAAATCATAAGTTAATGGTTTAAATTTTAACTCGTAGTCAGTAATAGGACTAATAAGAAATGTTTAACTAAAAATAAATTATTAATAAAAAAAAAGTGAAATTGAGGATTAGGAAATAGTTTAATCAAATGTTAAAACATGTTAAAATCAAATGTTAAAAGCTGTTTACAAATGTTATTAAATAGTTTTTATAATATTTAGATACAAAGATATATCGAAACTTTTAATACAACAATGGTTCCATTACATTTACGTAGATCAAAAAAGTTATAACTGAAAAAAAAGTTTTTTATAAAAAGAATAATTTTCAATTTTCCATCAAATTTAAATTAGTTTTTTTTTTTTTTTTTTTTTTTTTTGAAAAGACATAAAATTTACATTTTTTAGTAGTAACGTTTAGTAAAGTTATTTAATGCACCATAGTTTATTCATTTTTAAATGTATAAAATTTAGGTACAATTTTAAACGTTGTGTATAAATTACGTACAATTTACGTAAAAATCTGTATATAATTCAAAAATTGCAGATTTTTAGAAGTTCATATAAATTTCAAGAACAATATTTATAGCATTTTAGAATGTATATTTTTAGAGCGTTCTAGAATCGTATATCGATCACCTAAACGCAAAAAGAACACCTTTACATCTGCTAATAATGGAGGCTGGATTGATATGAGCTTTAAGTGGTACGTAGAGAAATAGTTTTACCGTAAATTGTGATATTTCATAATTACTTATTTTCGTAGTTGATTTTTAGTTTTTTCTTTTAATTTAGTACCACTAAGTCTCGCTCTTCATCTGAAGCTACTTCAGAAGATTATTTCAGTAGTTCATCAGAGTTTGAAAATAGTATTGTTGAAAATTGTTTTTCTGCTAACCAATCAACTCAAGTAAGTTCAAACGATGCTAATAATATAGTAAATGACTCTCCTATTATCCGTTCTAATCGAATGCGTTCAAGAAATTTTTATAGAATAGAAGATGATACTTTTTCCGAAGAATCTCCTAAAAATCCACAGACATTTTTGAAAACGGAAAACTTAGTTGATAATACTTTTTTCATTGATAGTTTGACAGAAAGTTTCTCTTTCAATGACGTTTTCAATGATTATAACCACATGTCACCGTGCATCCTATCGCAGCCGAAAAATCATCCTAATAATTTTGAAAAAGAAAATTTAGATGTTACTGATTGTCTTCAGTCATCATCAATAGTTATTGATGCAAAATCCAGTCTATCGTGTTCTCCACTATCAGCTCATTGCTGCGTCACACCGCTAAGAGATATTAACAACATAGTTCGACCAACTCCGCAAAAATTATTCAAGTTCAAAAGCTTAAAGCAAAGATTAACATAAAATTTTAATAAAGTTTAATTGTAGGTTAGGAAGAAAAAAGAAATTTAATTGTTATCAAAATTTTGTCGCTCACATTGTTTTATGCAAATACATACTGTTATATATATATATATACGTATATATATATATGTATATATATATGTATGTGTGTGTATATATATATATATATATATATATATATATATATATATATATATATATATATATATATATATATATATATATATATATATATATATATATATATATATATATATAATATATATACATATTATAGTAATAGTTTCAATAAATTAAAATTTTATGTGAGCAATATATATATATATATATATATATATATATATATATATATATATATATATATATATATATATATATATATATATATATATATATATACACATATGTATATATATACATATGTATATATATATATATAAACATGCATATACATATATATATATATATATATATATATATATATATATATATATATATATATATATATAAAATCTATTTTTTAACCTTTTTTTTATTGTTTAAAGCAATGACCAGGTTAAATACAATGGATTCATTTATGCCTTTTTAAAACCTCAAAGAATAATTTATTCTTGAATTGTAAAAAATATTTAATTTATAAATTTATATGTATATATAGCTTTTTCATTTTTTCAAAGCCATATCAATTACTTAAATTTTCTTGTCTCAAATGAATATTTTAAAGACAAATTCAATATCAAGTAAGGCTACTAATTCAAGTAGTTTACATATTATCATTTATTTTATTTTAAATAATTTTGCTAATAAAAATGTTGTATCCATCGTTTAAGTATTTCTTTAAAATAAAAAGCATTTTACGTAATTTTTTTTTAACGAAGAGATGAAATGCTCCCATACAAACAGGTGCCTATAAATAAAATCATTTTTTAAAGTTAAATATTTTAACGTTATTTCGAAGTGTACACTGTAGTTGACTGCAAAAAAAATTTTAATAAATTTGACTGAAAATCTAATAATATTTAGTCTTAATCATCATTTTCTGTTTCCAACTCCTTATCACTGTTGTCTTCCATCGTGTTATCTTTGGAGTAAAACTTTTTTTTTACACTAATTGTTTTGACGCTTTCTGACAAAAAGTTTAATGTTTAAAGTTTGTATTAAATAATAAATATTAAGATATAAGTTAAACACGGTAAAAATTAAAAGTTTAAATAAAATGAAATGCGGGTAGAAGACCACCTGGTCTTCACATTAAAGTTACATTACAAAATTAAATTTGAAGTTAAGAGTAGGGCAGAGTGGGGCACCATGATACTCTTTTGGTTTTTGCTACGTAGTATTTTTTTTTTTAATACGCCTTTTTTTTAGGCGATAATAAATAAATTTATACCTGAAAAATTAAATTTATTAATTTAAAAAATGTAAAAAGTTAATCTTGTTACATTTTTTAAAAATTAGAAATTTGTATTTTGTAATAGTTGAGGTATCGCACCCAATTAAAAGCTTTGCCTTCCAATTATTAAATTGTTTGCCTTCCAAGTAAAAGTGTGAAAAATCACACTTTTACTTGGAAGGCAAACAATTTAATAATTATAACTCAAATAATGCATTCAATGGTCCGAATCGCATTTCAGAAATCCAGATAATATATCGTTTTAAATGACAAATAATAAAAGTTTAATCTCCTAGCATTTTATTTACATAAATCTCTCAAAAATGACTGTAAAAATTAAAAGAATTTTTTTTTTAGAATTATTACCAACACTATGGAGTACTTTTCTACAGTATTAGAGCCCTTCAATAATGCTGTATCAAATTACCCATACTTGCTAATAGAAAACAATCGCTTCATTTTTAGTGTCAACTTATTTTTTCAATAATTTTGTTTAATAAAGTAAAGAACCTATGGATTTTAGTTTACAAAATAATATTATTTACAGATAGACACGTTGAATAAAATATCTTAAAACTTTAAAAACTAATAAATTACTTTTTCATCGAAAGAACACAAAGTTCGACCCCTAGCAAGCCTAATGATGTCAAATAATATTTATTTAAAAAAAACAAAAAACACAGCCTTAGTAATAGTTGTTTCACCATATAAAAAAAGTTTTCATAACTTTTAAGATGCCTCCATAATTACAATGTTTCATAGCGCTTCATCAATCAAGATGCCCCTCTCTCCTCTATACAAATGTCGTAATAGAATATTATTATAAAAATAAACATAGTATATAATAAAAGTCTACTAATATACCTAAAATGAAACGTGACGCTCGCATATGTCCACCTGCAGCTGTTTTCACTTCTCTCAGTTAAGCTAAACGAAATTTTTTCTGAAACTTCATTAGGGAAACCTGTTGAACTTTGGCACTATGTATAACTAGGCTGGTTTAAAATATTAACGCGATCTTGAATTTTACTGTCTATGATATTCGATATATCACTACTGATATATCACTACTGACTATTCAATGAGAAGTTAGTCACATACCGTCATTAAGCCGGTGTTTGCTGTTATCGATGTTAACTTTTTTTGGCAAAAATATAAGTATTTCTAATTTATTTTGAAGTCTGATAAACGTTTTAAACGTTTTATAATAGTCAATTACTTTTTATATGCTATGGGTTCTTTTATTTAACATGTGTCCGAACAATAAAAAACTTACGGGATAAGTAACCTCAAAACTATTTAAAACCAATCGTTTTGTTGAAGCTGGAGTTAAATAGTACCTCTGTCACTGTCGATCAGTTGTTTCTTGGTCAGTGTCAAGGTACAGCCTGAATGTTGTACTCGGCCAACTATAATACTTTATCAAATTTCACACTCATCTCTATAATATATAGATGAGTGTGAAATTTAATAAAGTATTATAGATGGCCGAGTACAACATTCAGGCTGTACCTTGGTATTATAATATCATTATAATATTGAACAATTTATTATTAGTTTCATTAGTGTCCCTTTGTGTGTTTTTTGACACGGGCATTTCTAGAAAAATCCAAAGTGTGAAAATATAACTGAAAAGAAATTAGATTATAGAAATAGATTTTTAAAAATTATTTTCTTAGATAATAAAGTTTTTTTGTGTATTTTATATTATTAGAAATTTTTTAAAGAGAATGTTTTGTTTTTTACTTTGTATTTTTTAACTTTGTTGTGATTTGCTACATTTTAGAGTATTGTTTGGTCTAGTCTATATCTCTGTTTGAAAAATTTCAAATTATATAATGTAAAATACAAACAAGTTAGTACATACTTAAGTTGGGCCAATGACTAGCGCTGAAAGTAGAACGACGATTAAAATGATAGTGGCTATTAATGGAGGTGGTGGTTTTATTCCACCCAGCTGATATTTCCTTGTGTAAACTTTAAAGATTTTATGATAACTGGAGCTCCTGAAGGCAGTATTGAAGGTGCCAATCCACCCTGTTGGTCAAACGAGTCCATGTTTGTGAAATTCCTCCAGCATTTTATCAAATGTTCAAAGCCTACCAAAGAACAACCTGTCATTCTCATAATAGACAATCATGATAGTCATATTTTCAGTACCCACAATACATATAGCTAAAAATAATGGTGTCAAGCTTATTACTCTACACACTATTTATCATATGCAACCGTTAGACAATTTTTGGGCCTTTCAAGACTTATTTTAATACAGCGGCTAACGAGTTACTAATGTCTCCAGGTCAGTGGGAAAACAATTAACTATATATGATATTGCTGGCTTGGTGGAAAAAGCTTTTCCATTCCAGGTGGACGCATCCTATTCGGATTGTCCACTTACTGAAAAATCACTCATTGTAAATAGTATTATACGGCAAATTTAATAAATAAAAAAAATTAAAAAAAAATTTTCGTTTTACACATTTAAATTCTGATGATTAAACAATTATTAGAGATACTCCATTACATCCTCCCAACATTCATGGCTTTATATCTAGGTACTTAATAGTCCTGCTTAGTAACCTCACAACGCAGTAAAAAAGCTTTCGAAGGAGAATGAGGTGTAGCCAAAATATGTGATTATTCAATTTTGTGATAATGATCACAAAATTGATTTTTGCGATAATGATCACAAAATTGAATTTTGTGATAATGATCACAAATGAATTGAGACTAATTCTTCTAAATCTCAATTCTCTTGAATACCGTAGAGTTAAATTTGATCATGTTATGGTATACAAAATTATTATATATTATTATAACGTTTTTTGTTTTATGTGCATCAAATTTATAATAAAATCTGTCCTCATTATAAGAGGAATATAATCAGACATTCTGACAAGCTCAAAGAAAAATTATTTTCTACTTTTTAGTTCGCTTGAAAACGTTGTTTTAAAAAAAATTATTTTTTTATTGTAGATTTTTATTATTAATTTATTTTTGGCAGAATATATAATAATAATTTTTATTTATTTTCCATAGCTGGCCCACTGTGCTGAGGTTCTAATTTTTGAATCTAATCTCTCTCTTGTAACAGCTTAGGGCTTACAGTGGTTGTGAATTTTAACTCAATCAAAACTCTAATCAAGTTATTTATTGCAAAAAATTAATGCAATACTTATGACATCCCTATATTGATGAGTAACAACTCTCTCACTAATGAAACAATGTTGTTTTAAATGAACTGTTTAAATTTTGATTGTAAAGATAGAAATCATTTTAAATCAATTTTTGTTGATTTTACTGTTTTTTTTAAAAAGAAACAACTTGTTCTGATCAAGGAAGGAAGGATCATGGTTAGGGGGTCAAAGGAAAAGTTTAAACTCAGACTGTTGAACGATACGAGTTCAAATCCCGCCACCACCAACTCAGCGCTTGAGTAGTACTTCGGTACGCAAAAATGTTAGTCAATAACGGATGGTACTTTTGATTAGCCTTAATGACTATTTGTGGCTGTTCTTATGCTAAGCCAACAATATCTTTGGATATAAGAACGTTGTATAGAAAAATATAGCATGAAAACTCAAATAAATAAAAAATAAATAAAAAAATAAAAATAAAATATCGTAAAATCATTTTAAGAATTATCAACGTCATTATTAGCAAATAATAATACTTAAGTTAACAGCAAAATAAATAGATAATAACAGAAAAATCATGTAGTAATGTAACTAAAACCAATGATAAACTTGAAAAAAAAAAATTTTTTCATCCAATGTTTTTATTTTTATTTTTAAATCGTTAAATTTTAAATGTAAATATACTTAAAAGTTACTTTTATTTAATACTATACAATTTACATCAAAATAAGTAAAAGTGACATCTTTATATACATATATATATATATATATATATATATATATATATATATATATATATATATATATATATATATATATATATATATATATATATATATATATATATATATATATATATATATATGTATATATATATATATATATATATATATATATATATATATATATATATATATATATATATATATATATATATATATATGTAGTGATGCTTCTATATATTAGTTAAATTGATGATTGATTTTAAAGATTTATTACATAAATAAGGATTTTTTGTATATAGATTACAATTTTGTTACTTTTTAGTTAATTATGGCTTTTTCAAAAGTAAAATGGGTTAAACCACATGCAAATGGATCAAGTAAAATTGTCTACATACATACATAATGTATATGTAACTATCACTGTATACATTATGTATATAATTTTATGAAAACAATTTATCAAGTCAATAATTTTGATAAGCCAAATGTATTAGCTGTTGTTGGTTAAGAATTATTTTTAGAATTAAAATAAATAATACAAAAAACCAAATCTAAAAAGTTAGATGAATTTAGGATAACCCCCTGGATGTACTCCTCAATAGTCGATCGTTGTCTGTACTTTTTAATTTGTACAAATAGTTTTTGTAGACGTGCGCAATTACTTGAGCGCTCTGAATCACTCCAACTAATTAAACTTTTTTAAACTTTTTTTTTTTTTTTTACAAAAAAATTAGCTAATCGAAAATCCTTTTTTTTTTCCGAAACTAATTTAATTTATCGAAACTTTAAAAATTCAATTTAAGTTTTCAAAATTAGTTCAGCTATTCGATAGTTTCACCGAATCAGAAAATTTTTTTAATCGGGAACGTTTTATTTGAAAATTTTCGAAAATCGTTTTTTTTTTTTTTAACTTTTTTTTTAAAAACAAAGTGATTTTATTAAAAAATAAAAACACTTTGTTTTTATTTTTTAATAAAATCTTTAATAAAAAAAAATTTTTGTTTGTTGAATAAATGAAAAGTATCTTAGTAGCATGTCAGTAATAATGTTTGCTTTTGTGTACATGTGTGCTCGCATTTTTTTGCCCTTGTTATGTCACTCGATTGACAAGTTTGTAATCAAGTGAACTAACCTATTTCTGTTGGTTTATAATACAATTTATAAATTTCTTTAATAGGGTTTAATAAATAAATACATTTGTTAAATAAATTTTTAGCTTTTTTTGTAACAGTTTTTATATGTTATTATAATTTTTCTTTTTTTGCTGTCCCGGATTTTTACAAATATTTACCGGGACAGAAAAATGTCCCCGTTACAAAATATGCAATTAAATGCAAAATTACGCAAAATATATTTTTTAAACAAACTTTTTTTTTAAAGTCAAACAAAAAGTAAGAACATAATTCGCTAACTAATGTCATACTTAAAGATAAGGAAATTGATTGAAATAACTTTATTTGTATAAACTGCCTAATGCTTTATTTTTATAAAGTTTTAAAAACGTCATTTAACAAAAGTTTTTGAAACGTATTTGACAAAAAATGGTGTTATAGAGTTTTCAAATTTGTAAAAAATGTGAATTTTATAAAAACAATTTAACAAATTTATGTTTTTTTTTTTTTGAAATGCTTCGATTTTTATGAAAATGGCACATACTAATAAATATAGACTATGATTTCACAGACAGCAACATTAATCTCTACCGATACGTGTTTGTCGTTTCTGGCCTTTCTTGTTATAAGTATAAACTCGTATTGTTTAGTTATAATTTTGCTAAGTCAAAAATTGCACAAATCGTCAAATATTGCAGTGTCAAGCTTAATTTTTGCTCATTTAATTCAAGGACTTTTTGTTATTCCATTGTATATATTAAAACGAAGCAATGTTCAATCTTCATTAGTTTGTGATTTATACAGATTTTCTTATATGTTAACTAACTATGCTGCATGTTTGAGCTTGTTAATTATCACATTAGATCGTTTCTTGCATCTAAAAATGCCTTTTAAATACCGAGTTTATTCGACTGTATACCGAATGCGTATCGTTTTACTATGTATGTGGATATACACGCTCGGTTTATGCTTGATACCATTTGCTAATAAAACCAGTAACTGTTACTATAATCCAACAGATGTTTGGACAGCCTCTATGTTGATTTGCAACACCTGCGTTCCTTTTTTTATAGCGATTACTCTTTACATAATGATCTTCAAAAAAGCTTGGAATATACAAAAGAGAAAAAGAATAAACAAAAATTTAAAGTTTACATATCTAAATAAATCCATCAGAGTGTTTTTAATTATATTTTGTTTTTTAATTTGTTGGGGTCCAAGTTGTGTTTATTATTTGTTAAATTCTTTGTGTTACAGCTTATGTTTTAACAAAAAATATCATAACACTTCAATTGAAAATGGCGTGACATTGTTTATGAAAATAATGACGTTTTTGGATGGCATTGTAGCTCCATTACTTTACTGTGTAGGAAATCGTAGTTTTAAAAGCGCTTCACGGATGACGACAACAAGGTTTAAAATGACTTTAAAAAACTTCTGGAAAAAACAATCGATACATAACGAGCATTCTATTGATGTTTCATAACGATAATTTTCAACCATATTATTCAAATACAATGATATTTTATAATAGGTTTTCACTTATGACATACTTTTTATTCATTAGCGTCATGCTTTTCAACCTGAAACTGTAACTTATGGTATAGTATGTTGATTATAATTTATAAAAAAGTAAGAAATATCTGAATTTAATATATCATACAAAATATAACATGTTTTCTACTATAAAAACTAATTTTTTTTCTTTCTTTCTAAAATTTTTATTTTTAGCTTGGTTAACAACTAAACTAGTTTTTATTTTAAGCTGGGTTAGCAACTAAACTTTTTTTTGTAAATAAATCAAATAATTTTATTTTATAATTTTATGAAATACTCAATGAAATGCAATCTTGAGACGATGTTCACCATTCACAATATGGGTGTTATAGATTAATTTGAACTCACTTTTGTTTACGTTTAAATTGTTGAACAAATAATATACTTAATAAAGTAATGAATTTTCGAATTAAAAAAATTAATTTTATATAAGATTTTAACCTTAAATTATAAAAGTATTATAAATTAAGGTTAAAAATCATTTTAAATTCAGCCACATGGCCAAATTCAAAAAAAACTTTTTCTAATCTCTTATTGTTAAACAAATAATACACTTAATCAAGTAATGAAACTTCTCAACAAAAGATGTCTCTCATGATATCTTTTAGACACGTCAAGGCATTGAAACTTTTAATTTGTGACAATATAGATTAAAAATAATTTATTAACAATATATGTTCTGTATATGTAATTTAAATGATATTTAGTTTATGCAATATGTTTTATGCTTTGTTTATAAAATATGACTTAAGTTAAGCGACATGCCAACTAATGATATCTGGTAACGAGTTATACTTGGTAACTAATGATACCTGCTAACTTTTTTTTTGGTTGTGTATCTCTCAGTATATTTTTTTGCACAGGAAAATGGGAAGTATGTGTACAAAAGTTTGTAAAAGTCATTGAATGAATTTTGAAAGAAAAACCTTTTTTACTGTTTGTCTACCAGTTAGCAATTGTTGAGTTTTTAGATTTGATGCGTGCTTAAAAATGCAATAATATTTTATTTTTATAAAATATTTCTTGCTTTACCAGTGTTTTATCATAAAGTTATTAACTATGAGTTCTGGAGGCTGGAAACAACTTTGTAAATTTGTTTTAGATAAGAGTAACAATAATCTATAAATCTAAAAAGAAAATTTTTATTAAAAGGCTACAATTTTCTTTTGTGTAATTTTTGACAATTTTCTTTTGTGTAATTTTAAAAGAGTAAAATAAAGTCAAAATGAATATCCTTAATGTAATAAATAATTCTGGCATATGCATTACCAGAACGATTAATGAGGCTGATATTTTATCTGGCAATAATTTTGTTAAAGGTATTTTGTTATTGTTTGGCAACGAGATAACTTTCAAAGTATTGATGACAGCTATGAAAATAGTTTCAGCAGAGTTGATACATTTGTCGAATGCAAATTTAATAATATATTTTAATAAGGGTATAGTTTTTTAGGAAAATTTAAACATTAGCACAACGATTGAATAAATAATGTCTTAATAGATTGTAAAAACCAGGGGTGTGGAGTCGTAAAAAAAAGTAACGACTCCGACTCCGACTCCAGTTGTTGAAATTTTTTGAATACAACTCCGACTTCGACTCCGACTCCAACTCCGACTCCGACTCCAACTCCAACTCCAAAGCAAAATTTTTGAAAAACTCTTTGAATTCTATAAAAAATATTGCGCGATAAGTTGAAATTTTTTTTGACAAATTTATGCAACGTTCTTTGAGGTTTAGTATGAACATAAGGTTAATTGAATGTTTTGCACATGCACGTGCAATACCAAGAAATATTACTATCGGAGTCGGAGTCGTGATATTTTTTAGCGACTCCGACTCCGCTAAAATTTTCGCAACTCCGCAACTCCGACTCCGACTCCACAGCCCTGGTAAAAACCGATCTTTTTTAGCAAAAAATAAGGCGAGATAAGAAACCTTCTATTAAGACTAAAAATTTTTCACACAATTGTGTGGAGTCACACGATTGTGTGGAGTCACGCGATTGTGTGGAGTCACACAATTGTGTAGAGTCAAACAATTGTGTGGAGTCACACAACTGTGTGGATTCACACAACTGTGTGGAGTCACACAACTGTGTAGAAGTCATTTTAAAATGTCATATTTCGTACCAAAAAAAGTTAAACATAATAATCATACAAATAATGTTTAACGTGTATTGGAGATCATTTAAATGATGTTGGAAATTATTCAAATGATGTTGGAGATCATTCAAATGATCTCCAACATCATTATTTGAATGATCTCCAGTGGACCTACATAGGCAAAATGTCTATATATAGCCATTTCGCCTATGTAGGTCCACTGAATTCCGCTATGTAAAATAAGGTTTTAAAAAAATTTGATTTTTTAAAGCCTTATTTTGTATCAATTAAGACAACGGCTCCAAAAAAAATAGATTCCGTAATTATAGCAGTTTTTTCCTTTAAGCAAATTACAGAAAGAGAAAGCCTCATGACGAAGAAAACAAATTTAACGCAAGGCCTTTTTTTAATAAAAAATAATTCAAAAAGTTTTAATCAATTTTCTTTTCTCTGTTTATGTCTTATAAGTTCTTACATTTCTAGCACTTGCAAGTAGAAGGTGATTTGATGTGGACTTTTTTTGTAGCATTTTTTATTTGGTAAGTGTTAATTGAGCTACTTGTTACCTAATTGTTTTGAATATTTTGCAAAAGCTTGGTTGTTATTAAACTTGGTACGAGCTTATTAAATCCAGTTTTTTAAATTCGCTTAGTAACTGTTTTCTTTGATGTCCATTTTTGGTTGTCTAAGTACTTTTGAATCCAAGCCTATATAGTCTACTTGTAAAATCGACTGCATTTATAATGTGCGATTTTCCTTTTTAATTTGTATTTTGAATATTGAATATTGAATATATTGAATATATTACTGGTAGGACTTTCAGAAGATCACATGATCTTATCATGAAGCCCTTTACAATCTATATTTAGAGTCAAAATACATAAATTTACAAATATTTAAAATAATTTTTAAATGCGTTTATATATTATAATACTCTTTAGATGTTAAGTAAGTTTTAACAATATTTTATAATATATGTGAATATATATATAATATTTCTCAATATTTAATATTATGCAAAAACAAACAAACAAACAAAAAAAGCAAACAAAAACTCGAAAATTACATCAGTTTTCATCAGTATATATGTAATGTCAATATATAATATATAATATGTAGTCTAAAAAATACTGTCGTTCAGATTACAATTCCTTAAATATTTTGTGGAATAGGTAATAATTTAAAAATATAAAAATATGTTACCAATTGAAAAAATTACTTGTTTTGTTTTCTTTTAAAAGAAAAATAATTCCAATTATGCGAAAAATCAAAATATTTTAAAACTATTTTGTTCCATAAGAAGGCTCCACGGTGTTGAATGCAAGATTTGCCTATATTTGATTGAAAAATTGGTTGTTGGATATGTTTATTATTTCTTAATATATATTTATTTTTTTCTTTCATTGAATATAACTTATGAAAAGAAACAGGACAAGTATTAATTTTGCATTTAAACATAAAACAAAAAACGTTAAATATATTTGCTTCGTAAATATTTAGAATATTCATGTTTAATAATAAAGGCCTGGGATGAGTAAAACGATCTTTAAAATTAATAAGGCGTGCTACATGCTTCTGTTGACAAGGCAAAGGCTTTAACTTAATTTTGTTGGTACTACCCCAGGCAATATTAGCATAGTTAATATGGCAGTGAATGAATGAGTAAATAGATTTTAAATGAAACCTCTAGCAAAAATGATTTCGTTGAAACAGAAAAATTTGAAATCTTTGAAAATTGAACTATCATAGGAAAATTTTGTCATCTTCTAAGATGCTAAATCTTGTCAGGAAGACTTAAGTAAATATAGAGGCTGCAGAATCAGTTCAAACTGTGTCCAAAAGCTGTATACTCTGCATTATGTACGCTCTCCTGCATTGTTCTTCTACATTGCGTACGTTCTCCTGCATTGTTCTTTTGCATTGCGTCATTTTCGTCGGCCAAGCAAGTCAAAGATGATCTTGAATTACATGTGAGTGACAAAAATGTTTGTAGGCGCTAAAGAGAGAACTGTTTATATGCATACAGTCCACAAAAAGTCCCTTTGCTGACATAAAAAACATACTGCTAAACGTTTGCAGTTCGCAAAGCAACATCTGAACAGGCCCATCAAAATGTGGCGCAACATATTATGGACCGATGAATCGAAAAATATTCTTTATGGAGGTACAGGTTCAAGACAATATGCAAGACGTCCAGTTAATACAAAATTTCAGAAAAAATATACCATTAAGTCTGTAAAACATGGTGGAACCAAAGTCATTGTATGGGGCTGCTTCTCATATAATTGTGTCGGCACTATTTGTAAGATTAATGATATAACATATATATGTTGACATCCTCAATAATGTCATGCTGCCCTCTGCTGTTAAAGATATGCCGCTAAAATGGGTCTTCCAACTAAACAACAAACCGAAATACACTAGTCGTAAGGCAAAGGAATGGTTTCAGGTCAATCGGGTTGAGGCTATGGCCTGCTCAGTCACCCGACCTAAAACCCCATTAAAAAATTATAGGGAGTCGTTAAAAAAGCAGTTTCTGCTGCTAATCCAACTAATGCTCAGCAGTTATTGATAGCTATCCAACAAGCATGGTACGCAATACCCGTAGAAAAATGTCAACGCCTTGTTGACTCAATGCATTGGCGTTGCGAAGCCGTTAAACAAAACAAAGGTTTTGCAACAAAATACTAAGGGTAAATATCATTATATTATAGTTATTTTTTAACTCTTTGATGTTATAAAGTTAACTTTTTAAATGTTTAACTCTAGAAAAAATAATTTTTATTTTCAGATACCACTGCTATTTCAATGACAGCAACCTTTTTTAATACTATTGTTTTAGTTCTGAAATAAAATGTTAAACTGCTATTGATGAGATTTTTTTTATTCTATTAGATTTAAGTGTCAAAATAATTATAATAAAATTTTTTTATTATTCATTAAAAAAAAATTGCTCAATCATTTTAAAAATATTCTATGTACAGCTATTTTCATGCTCACAGCTGTACAAAATACAATTACTAGTGGTGCATTGCTTCTTATTTCTAACTTCTTATTTTTGGGTTTATAAATTACCACTGGTAAAACAAAGAAGTTTACTTATCTCTAAGCATATCTTATATCTGAGCAGCAGCACAACGTACAATAACTCGTTTAGTACGATTATCAATTTCACGTTTGCCACCACTTCCCTTATAAGCTCAATAATTAACGCCAATCTTGAAGTAATTATTAACCACTTTTGGAGATCTTTTAATTTTCTTTGCAACTTCCCGATTAGATAAGCCAGTATGTTTGTATGCTTTGATTACTGCTAATTCTTCATTTGTTAAACGCTTAAACACGTCCTATTTCAAAATAATGTATCAAAAACCAAATGTTAAAAACTTTATAAGCGCTGTCTTTGTTTAACCATGGAAGTATAAAACAGATGGAAGTTCAACAGCATTGAAATTCTTTGGGACTATGCACAAGCAAAGTCTTTTTTTTTCGTAAACAATAAGAAAACGACATCAAGACTGTAATTCTGTACTTAAACGCTTAATTTTTATACGTTGACGCAAATAGGTATGCTTATAATAATTTAAAAATACAGTATTTTGAAGGTTCGCCAATAATATTCAAGAAAAACATTAAAAATGGCGCAACGAAACGGCAAACAACAACTTTTTTATAAACTTCATATTAAATGAATGAAGTACTTCATGTATGAATGTAATTATGATATACAGCTAATGAAACTTTCAACTTTAATTATTTAGAAAACAATTTTTTTGATTTTTTAAAAACTGTTTTAGTTGTCTTTTTGATCAAAATTTGATCAAAAAGACAACTAAAACAGT